AATGTGCTGAGGGTGCACTTGTTCCCACTGTCCGTGTCGCCAACAAAGACGTTAAACAGTGTCGGTCCCAGTACCGACCCCTGAGGCCACTCATAGAGCTGTAGAAGCATTCACACTAGCATACAAGTTAGCCCATTAGATTTCACGCTGCTGAAGGAGGTTTATTTAAAAAAAAATGTGTTTTGCTCAAATGCAGTGGATAACTTGGGGGAGTGGGAGTATTTTTTCTTTTTGTTTTGATTTGGTTTTGTTTTCTTTTTTCCTCATGAACAGTTAGGTAGGTGTCCTGCATCATCAGCTTTAAAATGGAGGCAGAGAGAGAAATTAGTATTCTGTAATAACATTTACAGTAAATTACAGAAAGCTTTTGTACGAAGTACCAAAAGTGGTTTCTTGAAGAAACGCACAAACAAGAAATCCTCCCCCCGCCCAAGCCACCAGACCTAGGATCTTCTGTTGCTTTTTACCTCTCAGAGGAGTAAAAATTGTGACATGTACTTAGCATGTTCTTTCTTCATTTGGTGAAGTAAGAGCTGAAATTTCCAGTTTAGTCAGTCAGTTCATTAGTGGTGCATCTGTGAAATGCAGAATGTAATTTCAGAAAAGATTGCAAAAATGCTGAAGCCTCAATGGAAAGAAGTTCTTAAGATGCACCTGGTACTTCAGTGGTCATCTTGAGGCAGTGATTTACTGCATGCTGCGGTAAAAGGTATTATTAATAAGTTTGTCTACAGTGAAATTCTGCGTTACTGAAGCTAATATGTTTTGTCACTGAAGTTATGGTGGGACAAAATTCGTTTGAGCATAACTTGGCATCCTTTTGCTCTGACGTCTGAAATTTTGTCATGAGTTAGGAAGTTGTAAACTAATACCTTGCATTCAGTTATACAGATAGAATTTTCCTATTTCAATACGCTTCACTGTATGGGGAAATTAATAATAGAGTTGTTAGGGAGAAGCTGTTGAAGTTTGCTATATGGAGGAAAATTTATATTTTCTGTTACTGAAGACAGTGTGTTTACATTATCATGCTAATTATATATATATATACCAAATGTGTAAGCTTTGTAAAGCATGCAATTAACACAAACCTTTCAGGACTGGAGTAGCACAGATCAACGAACATGGATGTTCTGAATATTATTTATTACTTTACATGAGGAAGAGGTGGTGCAGAAAGCTTCATTTGTGGAACATGTCCTCTAGTTTTAAGAATTGGCGTACATGTTAGTTTACTGAGACTTAGCGAAGATGTTTTGCGGGATAATGTGTAGATGTATGTATTGCAGAAGCAGTTTGGGATTGAGAAGAGGCTGAGGTCTCGATTCTTTCTTGCAGTCTTTTAGGTTTGCTATATTCGGTACCTTGTAAGTGCCGACTGCAGAATTTCAAATCTTGATACTTTTTCACTTGGTGCGGAGATGAATGTTTATACCTCTTCACTATTTCCCCTACTGAGAATTTAACTTAATTAATGCTACCTCTGTACAAATGCAAGATTGTTTCTACTATCAGCTTTCTTGAATTATTGAAGATTAATTTTAGCATGCTCAATCTCCTCATTTGTAGGGAGATCATTATTTTAGCAGAAGCATTCAACAATTATGTAAAACATTATCATTATAAACTTTGGAATTAAAAACAGCTGGTGTCTGTGGAAACAAGATTCTAGTTGAATAAGGGGCAAAATGTTCTACTGATCATGCTACTCCAGATTGAAACTTCTAAATCACTTTTAACTTGTCTTTTGTTTGTTTTTGACAGCTGTTGCTTAATTTAATTATCATTAAAATATGTTATTAACATAGTGTTCCTGATCTCCAACGCGTTTGGCTTTAGGTCATTAGCCTAATTAAAGCATGAGTCTAACAGTTGCCATTGTGTGTTGAATATGCTCACAGGATGAAACCAACGTCTCTAGCCAGTCTGCTGATTTGTTGTACTGGACGACATCAAAAACAATGAAAGTGTTGTCTAACACAACTATGACTACAAAAGCCATGCTGCATGCTGTCAGTGACGGACAGTGGTGGAAGAGATCATTAACTTATCTTCGACCATTACATGTAAGGGATTGCTGATGTGTCTGCAGATGTTTACACATTCACTGATACATTAGTATAAGAGCTGGGCTTCTTTGTAGGTGTCTGATAACTGAAGACCTCAAATCAATAAATGAAGTAAAGACATCAGGGGACTGTTTGCAAACAAATCCCAGTGAAAGGGGGGGGTCTAAAGATGTTTCCTTTTGTTTTCTAATCTGTTTTCTCCTTTTTTATCATAGTGCAAGAAGGCATAGTTGAAATTTGGCAGAACTTCAGAACTTTGGGGGAGAAAGCACAGTGAAGCCCACTCATTAAATACTGTCATTTTATATTCAAAGCTGTTCTTTCCAGTTTCTCTCTTCTGCCTTCTCTAGTTCAGTGGATTTTCTATAATGTTTATGATACCGGTTTTTCTGATACTACCTCTGAGCATGATTCTCTTTCCTTTTTTAAGAATACTGACCTCATTCAGCATTGGTTTATGTAAGAAGGCTCCTCTCTTGCTCCTCACTGAATTCAATGATATTTTCATTTACAGTTGTTTCCCTTCTGAACAGCAGTTACAAACTTTTTAATGAGCTTTTTTACAAGTAGGCACAACTATACTTATTTTTCCTAGGGCCAAGAATTTGGAGATGTATTAAAAAGTGGACCTGGAGAAAATGCCACTGTGGAAAAACAAGGCTGTCATCCGTTTTATGAGTCTCTAATTGCTGATCCATATGTTGCAGAAGTAAGTTTCTGTTACAGAATTCTGAAGTGTTAATTTTTTGTTGAGATCTTATAGTTAAGAAATAATATGGATTTTGGATTATTTATGTCACTTGAAAGTTAGTGCAATAGTAGGAAAAAAATCCTGAATTAAACAGTAGGGACGAGGTAGCTAATTGCATGTGATGCAAGTGAGCTAAATATAACTGCAGGGTGTAGCGCGCATGTGTCAGTTATCGTATTTTACTTCTAGTCTGAAATCAGCTATGGAACATATGAGAACAATTCTTTGGAAAGCCTTGCAGAAGTGTTGCTGAGGACAGAGAAACTGACAGAAACAAAGAGTGAAGGGAAAGACCTACTTCCAGCTACAGAAGGTATGCGTATGTGTATATTCACTCCTGTATTTACTATATATAGTAAATATAGGAGAATCTATGGATGGGTTTAATTATGGAGATTTGCACTCAATGATTTGTCTGGGTGTTTTGTATGAATTGTGATCTGGTTCAACATCATATGTTGATAAGTAGTCTGATAGAAGTAGCTGCAGAACTAGTATTTTTAAAAGGAGTTGCTCAGTAAAGATTAGAAATCTGAAATCTGAAAGTTAGCTTTAAATAAGCAGAAACTGATATTTGGGAGCTGAGAAAGATATGAACATTGTGGGAGGAAAAACTGTTCAAAGTTTCCTGAATGTTACCATGTACAGATATTTAAATGGAAATATTCAACCCAGTGTTAATGTTATTTTATGTATGCCTGTATGTTCACCTGTTCAGATTCTGTGTCATTGTGTATACAGGTTTCAGTATTGCAGGGTCATTGCAGTATTTTATTTGCTAATTAATGACTAACTGCAGTTTCTGGAATCATTAGAACTTTTTGTCATCTTATGAAATTTCCACATTTTATAGGTTATAGCCAATAATTTGTTAACTGAAAGTTTCACTTTTTAAAAAACAGAACAAAACAAAAAAAAAAAAAACAAACCCCAAACCAACAAACCACACAAAACCACCTATGACTGTCTTTCCCTTTTGTTGTCTCCTACTGGTTTAAGAAATGAACTGTTTAAATATTTAAATGCTGTTAGTGTCTTTTGAAGGAAGATATCTGTATTATATTTTACTCTGTGGTAAGTTCTGCCATGAGAAATGAGTATATTAAATCACTTGCAATATGAAAAAAGTTTCAGGTGAGACTTTCTTCATAAGCCACACAATTTTATTTCAACTCTTTAAAGGAAAACCATCATATTTGTTTTACAAGTATACGATTCAGTAGTTTGAGATATGTGATATTTTTACAGATATCCTGTACAGTTGTAATATAATAACATTGTGAATTAGAAAAGGTCAGCATCAGCTTGTATAAATGGGATTGTATTCACATTTTCTTCCTTTCATGTTCTCTTAATGCAAAATTAGTTTTAAATCAATACTTACGATCTCTTTTCTTGCATGCTGAAAGCCCATAGGCTTCTAGCTCCGATGCCTGTGTCTTAAGGGAGGGAGAGGCAAGGATTAAAAAGCATTCATTGCTTTCTTAGGGCAAATGGCGTTAGTTTCCAGATCTTTGGTAATGCTTCCTGCTCTAGCTTGAGTAATTGGAACTGGTTGTTTACAATTCAGTGGTGGCTTTGAGATGGAAATTTCAGTTTTGGATATTTCTGCTTGAAGAAGAAAAGTTTTAGATTCCAGCTTTAATTTTTGAGCCTCTATCTTCCTCCTCTTAAGTGAGCAGACTACTGTTTTTACCATTTTAATACTTCTGTTCTCTTCCACCACTCTTACTCTATAGCCAGTCTGAATTTCACAGTCCTTTCAACTGTGCCATGTAACTGAGAGTTCTGTGTTTTTCTCTGGAAAACTGAGCTGTATTTGTTCTGTACTCAACAGTCCTGTTTTATGATTCTTTTTGGTAGTCAGTAGACAGTGTTCTTACGCAGAAGTGTGATGTAGCTTTCCGTAAATTAATGGATTGGTAATTTGCTAATTACATCGTTTTTAGCCCTGGATTAACAGTATTGGATCCCACCTCTTCCCCCTTCTTAATGCTTTGCTTTATCAATTCCTGTGAAAGTCCTTATGATGAGTTAACACTTTCAGAATTGTGGAGCTTGAAAATGTGCATATTAATAGCACACTGCCAAAATTTAAAATAAAAAAAACCACGCAGATATGAACCCCATTTATTATTTTGTGGTTTTCCCCGTATTTTCAGGCTTACTCTAAGGTTTTGGGAGAATTTGGCCATATGAAACTTGAAGGCTAATACGAGTTATTAGCTACTGTACTAGTAACTAACAAACACAGCAGATTCCATTTGATTTTGCTGACAAGTTTGAATCCCAGTTGTTTCAGCTTTCTTCTAGGGCAGCTACAGCAGCAGGTTTCAGCTGTGTTAGAAGAAGATGCAGTCTAGTAAAGAAATCCTAGTTGTACTTAGCACATTGTCTCAGGAGAAGTTGAAGTATGCATCAAACTCTTTTTTTATTACTATAGTAGTATCATGCTCCAGGTGTGAGGGAATGACTAAACGCTTTCCCCAGAGACAGCGTGCGTGATGAAACTGAAGATAATATTTGCTGCTTCTTGGAAGCCTCGGAACTTTGACTTTTCTTGTCCTTTTTATCTAGATGCAGGTGGTAGATTGAGCATTTTTTGGTGAAGTGGTAAAACCCGTCACTTTGGGTCCAGTAAAACGCTCTTTCCTCAGTTGTGCCCTTATAGTGCATCTGGACTTAGTGTGACCAAGGCAGTGTTGCATATCTGTGTTTAATTGTAGTTGTCTTTCTCCATAGCCCTTAGGAATTTGATGGGGAGGTTGAAGATGAGATCTGAATGGGATGTTACTACAATTGATGACTGCATTTTGTTGTAACTAGATTAAGTACTAAACTTGAAGTAAACCCAAGAAAGTCGGTCATACCTATTAATCCTCAGGAGTTTTAGAACGAAGAATAGCTTAATGTTTTCCATGATTTAGCAATTGCTTGCAGAAGTGGCTGTTTAAGTGCAATATGTACTTTTAAGTTTAGTGAGATTTTATCACATGCTAAATGAACAATTGAAGACTTGAAGCAGTTTTTGCGTGTTTTCAGAGGAAAAAACTTGGAAAAAGAGTTGAAACTTCCTAGGTATTGATAAATTTCAGTTTTCACAAATAAACCATTTTCTTCCCTACTTTGCCTTCCAAACAGGCTTGTGGCATAAAGAAAAGACCTGCACAGGAAATTAAAACTGTTCATAAAATAAATTTTTTGTGTGTGTATTTTCCTAAGGAAATATTGCTTGTGAGACAGCAGCATTGGCTCTTTGCTTGCCACTGCCTGTCCTCCCTGGTTTGCCAACCCTGTAACGTTTAATCCCTTCAGCAAATTTCAAATTTGGCAGTGGTCTGAAATGATACTAAGTTCTTGTAAATTTTGTGAAGATGTATGAGGGGACAGAATGGCATCCTGCTAATGTCCGTAGTCTGCGATTAGCACTCACACCCATTAGACGTCAGAGAATTCCTATAGGGCTTCACTGGAAGACAGAAAACTGTATGAAATTAGTCTTTGTGTATACACATGTGGTTTTGTTTATGTAAGGTAGGTTTCTATATACGGATACATGAGCACACATCTGCACACAAGCACAGAGAAAATTTATATTTATTGAATTGGTACACAGGATTTTTTTTTTCTCAGAAGGGGCGGCAGTGGAGGTAGGTCTTAAGTACATTCTGGCAACTGAGATGCCTTTGCATGTAGCTTCATGCAAGAATATGGATAAAATTATATTGTTTTCTGTGCTTCTATTGGTGCTATGTTCTTTGTCATGATTGCTATCTGAATGGTGAAGATAAATTTTTGCTAGTGTGGCAGTTGTCATGTTGGGGATGTTAAGCTGGAAGAGAACCCAGAATTTATTATGTATTCTCAAGACTTTGCAATCATTAATTTTCCAGAGAAAGGGAGAAAAGGGCAGAGCCCAACTTCTTCTTTCCCTCTTCCCTTTTTTTTTTTTTTTTGTTCAGCTAGAGCTGGATGTAAGAATATATAAACTAACTTTGCTTGTACTCAGAGCAATTTTTCAATTTCTCAAACTAATTCATAAAGATTTTAATACTAGATATTTCTAGAGTCCTATTATCTTTGCTTGGACGGCGCACAGGTTATTTTGAATGTAGCAGAAACAAGCTGTCAGCAGCAAGAAACTATTGGTAAAAGCTATTTGGAGCACAGGTGCTGTTGGACAAGCTTGTATTTGCAGTAACTGTGACGTATTGCTATGTAGACAGCCTCTGTGATGAGTTGTCCCATAGAAATTTGGGGTTTGTATTTGGCTGAGGGCCAGCATGTAAAGCCACTTCAGGCTGATGGCAAATTAATGATAATCTGATAAAATGATAAAATTGTAATTGGTCGTTCAAGCCTTTTTATAAATCATTCTTTGGAACAAAGAATTCACTGGGGGGCTGTGTGTGTAAAGTAATCAGGTTTCTTGCCAGCATGCCCTCAAGAGTAGTTTGTGTAATGAGGGAATATAGGTATTTGAGACTTCCTTAAAATAAACAAAGAGCTAAGTTGCTGGAAGATGGCTTCTACTGATTGGAATAATAATAGTAATATCTATATAAAACAGGAAATAATAATGTTGTTTTCCTGATATACTTACAATTACTATGCAATTTCTGGTCCAGGTTTCATAAGATTTTTAAAGGTGTCCCTGGAACAAATAATTTACATTCTGTACCCCCAAACCTGAATATTAAGTGTATCACGAGAATCTTTATTCTGTAATTGTTGGAACTTTCATAGCAACCGCAGTGATGCTTGACTTTAGTACAGAAGGAGATAACTGCATGAAGGAGAGATCCTGTGATTAATTAACAATTAATTGAGTGCTCACATTGTGTCTGTATTGGTTCTCCTATTTGTGTAATGTAAAATATACTGGGTTTTTTTAAACAACAAAAAAGTGTGATATCTATAGTGTAGGAAAACCAGGTAATTTTTGTGTCAGCTTTACCAGACGTATATATTTTTATAATTAGAATAATTATTCTTCAATGCATTAATTTTGGCTGTGTCGTTGTGCTGATATTTCTATTTGCAATATGTGGCAGGGCCCATTTTTGGTGTTTCACTGATCTTATTTAAAATTCATATGACACTTGCAGGGTTTTTTTGTTTTGTTTTTAATAAAGACAGGAATTTTTAATATAGTTTGTTGTGTTCAGTGATAAGTGAATTAGAACTCAGGCTTGAAGAGAAGACATTTTGTACTATCTGTCTGGTTGGTATCCTCAAATGCTTACAGCATTACATTACTGCCTTGATTTTACAAGCAAGAGATTTACTTGTTGTAAATCAGTACAGGTGATATTTTAGTGGCTTTGTTTAGCATCCGTTACTGCATAGTCTCATTTTTGTTTGGTTAATGCATCAAATGCTTAGCCTGGAAGTCAAGGTAAAGCTGTGCTGCTGTTTAATTACATATTAGCTGTTTCTGGATTGCACTGATAAGTGTTTAATTAAGTACGTATAGAGTGCTTCAAGCTAGTGTCTCATAAAATATGGTTACATTGAAAACATTTCATTTGCTGTCAAAGCTAGATGGGTCAGTAATCAAACCTTTATTTCCACTCTCTATATGTTACAGTTCTACTACAACTGGCAAGTGATGCTTTACCAAATGATACGGCCTTGTCGCTTGCCTATCTACTTGCACTTCCACAGGTACGTTGATAGTGATTTTTGTTTGTATGTTTTTGCCAGGAAAGACTATTCATAGCATTTCAAAATTCCATAAGAAAACATAATTTCTGTACGGTTTTAAAATCAAAGTCTTTGACTTAATTTACATACACATTTTTATAGCTTGGGCTGGTGGATTTAAAAGAAACTCTGAAGAAATGCCATTGGACTGTCTTATAAGCATGGCACTGGCAAAAAACCACATTTTCTTACTTAAAATAGTAGTTGGACCACCTGACTCACAGTTCTAACGTAGCTCAGAAATATGGATAACAACTTTGTAGTATAGGAGCAGGAAAACGGTAGTTGGAAAGTTGTTTTGGTGTTTGTGCAAGAGGGGAAAAACATCATAATGTAGAATTATCTGTGTGTGTGTGTGTATGTGTGTGTGGAGGTTACTGATTTATTTCTGTGCCAGAAAAACATAGAGTTATTTCTAAATCACAGCAAGTAGCTTTTTAGAAAGTTTGTGCACTTAATGTTGTATGCTTGCTAATTCTTTCATCTAAATTAATGCTCTCTTTCTCCTAGGTGGTAGATGCCAACAAATGCTTTGAAAAGCAATTACATTCTGCGTTATCTCTCCAGCTGGCAAGTTATTACTATAGCCTACAGATCTATGCTCGTTTGGCACCATGTTTCAAGGACAAATGCCACCCTCTCTACAGGGTTAGTGCTCTTTCTTTTTAAAACCATATTCATTAATGTGCAGCATTAAAGCTATTTGAAAAAGCCAGTACATGAGTTAAGCCTGTTAAGGAGCTGATCTGACTTACACTATGAGCAGCCTGTTAAGTTACACATAATTATTCTTCTACAGTGCTGTAAAAAGACAAGTACTTCACAATTTGTGGAAGAGTTTTTGAAGCACAATATTAAGTGTCTTTTATAGGCAATAGCACTATCAGTCTTCAAAGTAGCTTATAAACACTGAGAAGTAATGAGCGTAGCCTATGCTGTCATTTGCAGTACTAATACAATATAGTACTTCCTAGGAAGAGTCAAATGTCCATTTCAACAAGAATGATGCTATTCAAAAAGTTTCCATAGCTTTCCTTGGGGTGTGTTGTTTTGTATTTCAGTTTACATATGGTGTTTTGAAAATTCATCCTCATTCACTGATGAATGTGTTGATTTTCCTTGACGAGTGTCTCTTTTTGAAATGGCAGAGCTTTTGCTTATTATTCATCCCCTGTGATTAAAGCAATGGTAAATTCTGAACTAAATCGAAGAGGTGACATACAAAAGTTTAATAAGGCACCAATTGCTATCTTACTAAAGAGTAAAAACTGTTTTTTGCCATTCCAAGAGAGTCTTTCTGAATTTACACCTGTTCTTTCCTCGTGTACTGAAGCTCTCTGAACTGTTTGATTTTTCAGCCTAGCTCTGCATTATAGCTAAAAGAACACTTCTGGTCACAAGATTTCTGAAATAAGACCACTAATCACCACTGTGGCATGAGAGGAAATTTTTTTCCATGTTCAGAATGACTCCTGATTTACAGAGGAAAACCTGTTTTGATATTCACCCAGTTCTGCAATTAGGCAGCCTTTCATGTGCTGCTGAGATTTGCGTTCTACTGTCTTCTGTTTAGAAACTAAAGGAAAATGTAGCTCATAACTGAAATTTGTGGGGCTTGCAAAATATGTTGGTTGTGAGGAATTCATTTGTGTTTGTTAAATAGCTTTCCTTGAGCCTAGGTCCACCTGCTGCAAGACACCTTTGATGAAAAAAAGATTTTTTTTATTTTTATTTTTTTTTTTCAGTTTGGCCTTTTCAACAGTCTTATTTTATAGAAAGAGCTATGGAGCCTTTTGAAAGGGAAAGTTATAAGAATAAGGACAGGGATGTTAAAGATTGAACTATTTCTACTCCAGTTGCCATTTAATAAACAAAGTCTTAGCAATAGCACCATGTAGTTTATCTCTTTCTGGTATGATCTTTGGCTAAATCTTTTGTTTCATCTTGGTGAGATACTGTATATGTCTATGATAAGCAGTGGATTCTAAGTTGTTTGCTAAAAAAGAATATGTGCTATGTTTAAGTACTATTCTTAAATAGTAGCTTTTGAAAACAATTGTTTGAGAAGATCCTGAGTGAACAGCACACCAAGAAAAAGAAAAAAATAAGAGGAGACCTGAATAGCCAGTAAGAAAACAGCAGAAGAGAATACAGTCATTGCCACTAATTGCAAGGGTATGCAGTGAGGGATAGAGGAAGTAGACAAGAAGAAATAGAAACGATGCTTTTGAGCAAAATAAGTACTTTCTCCTTCCCCTCCCCCGCAAAAGAAAACCCCACCCCAACACCCCAGACTTAAATGCTCAGTTTCCTCTGCAAAACAGCCATTTGTTCAAATGTACATCTTAGATGTTAATAATAATGGCTCTGCTTGCAAGTTGCTTTCCACACTGCCATGCTGGTTGCTATCCAGTGAGAATATCCATAAGAACACATCTAGCCATGGTTTTTATTTTTGTGTTTCCTAAGAGCTCTGGGGTGTGGGGGGGAAGCTCTTAAACTTTTATGGTGCAAACTTTTATGAAGATGATAAATTAAGTTGTAGATGTCATTTCATTGTAGATTGTTTTCCAGCTCATGCCAGTGGTGTCTTGCATCATCTTTATCTTCTGACTTTTTCTCAAAACAGAAATGCATCCCGAGGTCCTCTAACTGTATAATTCAAAACTATG